ATTTTAGATTAAGTATAATCGTGGAATAAATACTTTACATACTTAGACATTGCTCATTTTCTTGATCAATATAACTGACAAATAAAACCCTCAAAAATTCGATTCATTTTTACTGTTAATTTTCACTGAAAATATTATATTATCGATCGGTCGCAGTCACCTGGACAATGGAAATTTGTTGGATGATATTATACACATAAGCAATAATATACAGTTGTGATGATTATATAATATACCTACATGTATACATAATAATTGAATTTGGTATTTGTCATTATTTGCCGGGCATATACGAATTTATCGCTTTATCAAACTGCTATTTTCCGGGTGCTTTTTTGTACGGCATGGACATTATAATTGAATACTCGTTTATTAAAGTAATTTACCAAATTTTGGGCTTTTATTTTGGTCAAAATTTTATTTTATACAAAATTATAAATATTAGACTCTTTTTTTCATTTGTCATTAAAAAAAAAAGAAAAACACGAGAAAACAAGTAAAGAACGAAGCCAACCAATATCCAAATTAAACATGCAATTTAAAAAACAAAAAGCTATCTTACATGTTTTGTTTTGTTTTGTTTTTTTTTTCGGGGGGGGGGGGGGGGGGGGGTGATCATTTTTATTTCAATTATCTTGAATATCTAAAATACACAATACATGGTATTTGTTGCTAAGGTTTACGTATTTACGTATTAACTCACGGATTTGACAACTATTTTTTGACATTTTATTTGAAAATCGTCGTTTTTAGCGACTCATTATACAGCAACGAATGGAGACTTAAGGAGCCTTTTATGTTTTATGCTGTATAAACAATATTCTTTAACTGTTATAAATTTCGATTTTTTGTTTACTTGCTAACTAACGAAGTATTAATAAAAGCTTGTGTCTAGTATTTTTACGACATCGAATAAAAATTCCTGTCATTACGGAACATAATCTTTATAAATACAATTTACCAAAAAGAAGTAAAAAATACATTACAGTTTTTATGTAAAAGTTATTTTCGATCATCAATATTTCTTTCCATTTGAAAATTTGCTATATTTTTATGATTGCAATAGAGTATATTTGATATTAAAACATGAACAAATATACATTGCAAATTGAATGATATTCAATGAATTTTAATCTCATAAAACTACATGTCATAGTTACAGTTAAAATTGATTTTTACAATAACAAAGTCTAATTGTCAAGTCCGATTTAATCAATTGAGTTTACATTTTTTAAAGGTTAAAAGTTGTAGAATATTACCGAAAGCCGTTAAAGCTAGGTAAATTTGTACGCAATTCCGAAAACATATTTCATTTTAGTTGTAATTTATGCTCATTTAACCCTCACATATATTTTATTTTGGACAATTGAACAAAGCAAACAAATTTTCACGGAAGGACATGAATATAATTGAGAAATCGGGGTATTACAAACAAGCTCGAATAAAAGGAGACAAACCTTATGAATCTGCACAAACAATTTTATGTCAAAAATTGATAAAATCACCTGGTACTGGATGCTACTGAAAATTACCAATCAACTATTTTATCGATGAACTGACGTGTACTAAAATGTACTTAACAGTACTGGATTTAACGCTACGCGTTTTTTCCTAATTACCTAAACCAGTACTGACTGGTATTAATCGATCGCGATAGTTAGTGTACTGAACATGTACTGAACAACTGAAAAAGATCTTGACATTTTTCCTTGCAGTTAATTCAGGCATTTAAGAGTTGTTCAGTTTAAAATGACCGTTTCAGTAGTAAAACCCGTTACTAGTGAAAGCTAAAATAAATAGTTTTGAAATTTGGGATCCATAAGCTCATGAAGTCTCTATCACCTTTTATTGAAGACTTAATTCATTTGACAGGATCATTAATTTCTGACTGGTTACAGCCCATGAATATATACAAATACGATTTCAATGTTAAGATGCCAATATATAATAGTCTCATGAAACTGAACTATGAGATCGGAATCAATGAGTAAAATCAATGAATAATTAGCAAGGTCATCATCGTTTTCAAAGGTATCGGTATTGACTTTGTGAAATGTACCAATACGCGTTACGTTCGGACAAATTTAGAATCATAGAAGTTCCATTTCAATGATGTCATTAATACATTTACAATGCAAATATGTTCATTCAGTCATGTCAATAATTAATCTCTTGCTACAAGTTTTAAAATTACAGTAATAGGTTATCTGAACATAAGTTTTAATCCTCAAAATGATTGTTTTGTACATATAATTCAGACCTTTGTATGTATAGTATACCCATAAATAAGCTATGTTATTTTTTCTCTCGATTGATCAGCTACACGAGTTGGTTGACCGCTATAGAATCTGTTTTTTTCTCCTCATTGATCAGCAATCACGAGTTGGTTGCCTGTTATGGAATATCCGTTTCACATATTATAGTGGATATTTTCTAATTGTCGTAACTACGATTCCGTTCCCCTTTCCCTGAAATTGACCTACCGAATTAGACTTGTTACCAGGTTTGTACTATTATGAGCAACATAACGGGTGCCAGATGTGGATCAGGATCGGGATCAGGATCACCCCCAGTTTTTGATGGAGTTCGTGTTGCTCAATCTTTAGTTTTCTATGTTGTGTTTTGTGTACTGTTGTTTGTCTGTTGGTCTTCTTCTTTTTTAGACATGGCTTTGTCAGTTTTATTTTTGACTTATGAGTTTGAATGTCCCTTTGGTATATTTCGTCTCTCTTCTATACATTAGTAAAAATGAAAACAATACGTTATAAATTCCTTGCATCCGAAGCACTTTTCTGGATTTACCTTCATCTGGAACGCTCAAAGCCGAGTATTTTAAAGCCAAGAATGTATAATACCCTAAATAGTTTACGAGCTATATGACCAAAAAGAACTTAAAAAATAGCAAAATTTATCTAAGGTCAACTTTGCCTGTATGAGTTGAAACCATAGATTCTTATAATATCAAAATATATAAACGGAAAATAAATAATAAAGAATTTTCGAATTTTTAGTAATTATATTTTAACAGGCATTAGAAAAAGTAAATTCAATTGAGACCGATCCTGGACCAACCAATTCAACAACACCAGTAGTAATTACTATCACAGATATAGATGATAACTTACCAAAGTTTGCGCTGTCCGTATACAATGCAACTGTGTTTGAAAACTTGGTACAAGTACCTTTGACTATAGAAGGTGACAGAATTAATGTAACGGATGTAGATCAGGTACAACTTGCTTTTAATTTTTGACATTACATTTTAAAAAGAAGATATTCCATTATTGTAACATGCCTTGAAAAAAAAGGAGTTATAAAACGCTTTGATATGTTGTACATATGGTGTATTGGTTTAAAAATAAGTCGGTGTAACGTTGAGTCTCTGGACCGGCGAAAAACGCATTATACAAGATGTAAAATTAATTCTGCGTATATTTTATTTGATCCTATGAAATGAAATACGATTTTTGCATTTTTTTAGCTTATCCGTTGCTTGTATTTTTATAGAAATTTTTTTCTATTTTTGGTAGCGAAATTTTCTACTTTTACATTTTTACATGACAAAAGCCAGATAAGCTTGAATTTCTCTATGTCATATGTTTTTAACTTTTGATATTCTGACGTTAGGATACACACAGTCTTCTTCGTTTAGAACTCCAATATGATAATGGAACTATAGTACAGGGAATAAACCCAGTACCGGATATGGTACAAGGCAGTGGAAATATAATGCTGTATCTACAAGACGATTTCTCATTTGATTTTGAGAAAGTAAAAGAAATATCATATACGGTAGTTATTTTATAATTAATGACATTGAAAACATCTTGTCCATCTGATATAAAACTAAGAAGATGAGGTATGAATGCCAATGAGACAACTTTCCGCCTGTGACCAAATAACGTTATATGTTTACATGTATACAGAATTTGTAATTTAAAAGTTCAGTCCTGTCAAAAAAGTTGAATATCTGTCAGTAGAAAAACAAAAGACATGATGACATTGTGCAAAATATACTGTGCATCAAATTTGTATTTCGGCAATAACTGTCTCTTCAGTGATTCTAAGGGGGAAATATTTGAAAATTCCAATCTAACGCCGTCGCGCTAATTCAACCCTAAAAGGACCTAAAGTATAGAAGAAACCGGACATGGAATCAGAGCTACATTGTATGTATGGGGAAGTACATTTGATATTTTCGAAAGGTTTCCTGAGTTTTATAACATAAAATAACATTAACAGAATATACTTATTTTCATGCTAGTATTGCAGTACTAAGCTACTCAGCTAATGATACCAACGGGGATTAACTGTCTACAAACAGAGGTATCGACCAAGTGGTTGTAATGACATCCAACGGTACCATTTTAACTGCACAGATAAATACTAACAATAACAATACATTAAAAAAGTATAATAAAAATATCAATGTAAATTCAAAAAGAGCAAGTCCATAAAAACTGACAAAAGCAAACGTTAAACTTTAGAAATCATTAGAACTAGTGGAAAACAATTGTCATATCTAAACGAGTCAAATGCATTAAATTGTAATATTTAAAATGTTTGCACATTTTTTAATAATTTGATCCATTGTAAGAATGTACATGTAAGACTCAACAATGTTTTACTGGTGATAAACACTTTTTGCTTTAGCTTGTTGCCAGTGAAGAGAGAGCACCAGCCAAAACAGCTTATTGTACAGTTCATCTGGAAATCATAGACAGAAACGATAATTTACCTCAATTCACAAAATCGTCTTTCATCGTAAACATTGCTGAGAATAACACAAATGTGCAACAAGTTCTGTCAGAAAATGTGAGTGATTTTATATTACATAGCTTTTCTTTCCGAATCAGTTGTAATCCTAAATTCTTTCAATGTTCTTCACTACAATAAACTTTATGGACAAAAAAATGTTTTTTACAAAAAAGTCATGTCTTTACTTTATGTATTAATAATAGTTTCTATGGAATAAACATCAATGAAATCTCAACCTTTAAATTCTCCCTCGCCCTGCTCGTCCGAATTTAAAGTATTTCTACTCTAAATTCAATAGGCTTTAAACAAAACAAACACAGAAATAGGATTAGTTGCTCGCAGTAACATATTATCTTCTCTTGCGATACATTATTTTATTAAACTTTATAATACAGGTTTCTTTTATACAACCAACATATATAAATACATGTAATAAACATAGCAGCCACTGTATATATACTAATGTGACTTACTTCGTGACGATTCGACGTAACTGCGAGCACCTTCGATACTAATACATTTAAATGCCAAACTTTATATAGTACCATAAAACCCCACCCGTAGAAACCGCCAAAACTTTTCTCGTGCCTTGTGCACGTACCATCAAACTTTATAAATAGTACATACTCTTGCAGAACTAGTTTCAGAACTAGTTACACTAGTTCCCATCTATATATAATTAATACAAATACCAAACGGGAAAACCCATTTTCAAACGAAATGAAATATATTTAAATTCTCCCTCGCCCTGCTCGTCCGAATTTAAAGTATTTCTACTCTAAATTCAATAGGCTTTAAACAAAACAAACACAGAAATAGGATTAGTTGCTCGCAGTAACATCGAAACAAAGGAAATGAAACAGTTCAGAATTAGATGCCAAGATTCAAAGATACTACCAACTGACGATGTAAATTGTCCTTAATATAACCATCTTTTGACTGATCTGATGACCATCTACCGTGCGCCTTCAATAATCTATCAGAAACCCCGTTATTAGCTGCTGAGGTAGCACCTCCACTTCTTAGACTATGTAACCCGAACTTAGATTTATCCAAACCAATATCTTCCAATGCCTTAAGTAATATCTCACGAGCTCTAGTGTACGATAAGGATGTATTGTTTTTGCTTAGCTTGTATACACCTTGTGATTTCAAAAATGACAAAGAACGAAAAATAAAATAGTCTGAATCAGATTCTAAACCAGCTAATTTCAAATAAATCTTTAACCACTTAACAGGACACATTTCATTGCCGGTCCTAGCGATTATAACCTTGTTTCCTCTTCTATAAATGTCTGTTTTACTCTTATTGATAGCAATCTCAACATGAGTATCGTAGAAAACAATGTTATTTCTTTTTATATTTGCTAACTCACTGTAGCGCAAGAAACCGGAAAATCCAAGAAGACATAGTAAACACACTCTTAACTTAGACAAATCATGTTCAGAGCCATATCTAGAAAAAATTAACTTTAAAATGTCTGTAGTAATAGGCTCTTTTTTGTTGATGGGTATACTCAAAATTCTACGACCGCCTTCTAAAATATTAGATAACAACTTATCAGAGCAAGGATTGTATTTAAAGTTAATGTCATGATACCATTTAATGGAATAAAAGTTAGATTCTAAAACGGACACGCTAACACCTTGCTGTATCAGTGAACCGATATATAAACATACTGTAGTTGCAGTAGCCGGAGAAAATTCAAGTTGACAATCGGAACACCAAAGACGAAATTTTCCAAAATAAAATTTATATTTTTTAACAGTAGATTTTGAACTAGACGCTTCCACAATTGATGGTAATGCACTGACAATTTTGGCAAATCTAGAATCATTGGCTAATTTCTCGAACTGTTTCCATTGAGTCTGTAAATAGAAAAAACCCAATTAAAATCTTCATACATACATGTATCTTAATTAGATAAACATTAAACTTCTATAAATATATACATCTCATATCTATATACATCAACTTCTAACCACACTGTGTGATTCTTTATGTTACACTGTGCAACATAGCTCATAAAAGTTCATACATAGTCCATCATAATACTGTATATTATGCCACAGGACAACTATATTGTTCACAAGTAAACATTTCACACTGTGTGACATACACACATATAAGTGTATCTAAATAGATAATTATCTAAATTACTAAGTAGTAAAATCAACTAACAACACTAACACATTACTGTTAAATGGTTGCTTAGCAAAAATACTGTTTTCGTCCGATCCTTGTATAAAAAATGATTTCGGATTTCTATACTCACGGAAATCTTTTATATAGCCTTTATATTGATATGTTAAACGATTCACAATCTTAGGCCAATACACAGCTGATTTCCACTTAGGTACTACTAATGCACCTTTTGCTTTACATATATGCATATAATTAATAACCCTATTAATCAAAACAATAGGAGGAACTATCCAGTTATTAAATGCTGACCAGTCATATGCAAACGCATCAACACCGGAGGTACCAGGTGTAAAAAACTTTGAGAAAAACCTAGATACTTTCTTATTTCTACTGTCGGCAAATAGATCACAATTGAATGGACCCCATAACCGATCAAAATATTTGAAAATAATATCTGAAACACCCCAATCATCAAAATCGAAAATTTTACTCAATTCGTCAGCTTGAATATTTTTATCTCTTGGGATCCATTCAATTTCTAATACAATATTATTATCTAAGCATATATTAAAAACATCTAAAGCTATGTCCTGAAGCTCTGCCTTCATACTACCTTTTCTAATTATCTTAGTTACATTCTGATTATCGGTGTAAATTTTGACAAGTTTTCCACTCAATTGATTATGTAAAGACTGTAAAATATTGCTTGCTGCTTTTAATTCCCTCCAAGTTGAACTCTTAGTTCTGTCTGATTTATCCCACATAAAATGAGATACATTATTTGAACCTACAATATAACCAGCACCTGCATATTCGCTGGCATCAGAAAAAATAATTCTCTCAGGCATTCTATGAAAATATGAAATATGCCTAAAACTAACTTTGTCACAGTAAAAATACCAAAATCTAAGTTCTTGAATAACATTGTCATTCAAATATACAAAAGAATCCCAATAAGCTCTACAAGAGATAGTCATATGTAAATGCCTTGTCATAATTTGACAAATACTGCCTAATGCTGGTAACATAGAAATTATTTTTCCACACACTTTAGCTAAATTTCTACAAGTGATATGTATATTACGTTCAAATAAAGCAGATATAATGTTTTTTAAATTCTCGAATTTTTTCACAGGTATTTCTAAAGTTCCTTCTTCTAAATTCCAATTAAAACCTAGCCATTCCATAATTTGAACTGGTGTCCATACGCTCTTATTATTATTTATAACAAAACCAGATTTTTCTAAGTCACTTTTAACCTGTAAAGCCATATTTTCACAAATTTCTGAATTTTCTGCAGTTCCCCACCCGTCATCTAAATAAACCACAATAGGAATACTCATAGCTCTCCAATATTTTACTAAAACTCTGATCGTTTTAGTAAAAATGTGACCTGCTGATGATAAACCGAAAGACAAAACTGTGAAAGTAAAAAATCTGATTTTATTGCCAAATTTCCATGAAAAACCTAATAATTTTTGATGATCACAATGCACATCTATGTGATGATAACCATGCCTTAAATCAAATTTATACATGTATTTTGAATTATGTGCAAAAGATAATGCTTCATTAACACCTTCAAATTTAACCTTTTGTTTTTCAACGTATTTGTTTACATGTCTCAAATCTAGTACAAGTCTTTCTTTACCTGAACTTTGTACTGAAACAGTTAACGGATTTACTACAAAAGGTGGACACTCTACTTCATTGATACAATTAGTAGTAAGAAGTTCATCTATTGACTTTTCAACAAACGTAGCATGCTTAAGAGCTGATTTGTTATTAGGTAAATGAATACAACATGGTTCAGTATAAAATGGAATTCGATAGCCAAATTCTATCGTATTTAAGATAAAATCATTTGCCTGTAAAACAGATTTCCAAAATAACACATTATTTTTTAAATTCCCTTTAACGTTAATAATTTGATCTCCAGACTTAATTTCATAATTGTTAATAAAGTCAAAATTATACTCAACTCCATTCGTTGTATTTTCATCTAACGTCTGTTCTTTACTGTGACTTTTCTTGTTCCTTTGGGGCCGTGCTGACTGTTGCTGACGGACTTGCCTTGAATGGACAGAATCTGGCGAAATGTCCTTGTTGATTGCAATAAAAGCATTTCCCGGATCTGTTCTGTGACTGCCCTGTACTTTCTCCGAATCCACTGCTTTGACTAATCCCACGAAAAAAATTCTTTGCGTTGAATTTATTTCCACTTTCTGTAGGTTTATTGCTGGGCCGATCATACGGTTTTGAACTTTTCCTTTTTCTAGAAGCACTGGCAATAGCGGAACGCAAATTAGCTGCATCGTCCTTATCGTCAGCCAAAGGACTATCAAGGTATTCATTAACGGTGTCCCATCCATGTTTGTCGCCGATTTTCAGAATTTTGTTCCTCTTCCGCAGCGTTTCTTTTTCCTCTGCTAACACCTCCAACGCCTGTACGTACGATTTGGACTTAATCAGTTTCTCTATTCTTGAAATCGTGTCGGACCTTTCTGTATTGAATAAGTACTGGATGCGATGTCCCTCTCTCTTGAAAACGAAATCTGGAGTCGAAACACCGGTTGACTTCACTGGTTGTACAAATTGGTTTTCAAAATGTTTGATTAAATTAACTTTCTGCTGTTCTAGAGCGTTTGTTAAAACTGTTGAAAACAACGATACAGCACCATCAGTAGACAACTCGGTATTGGATGTACTCTCCTTACTTTTGGACTGTCTCAAATCATCATGGTCGGAACCAGTATCGGACATCATAAACGTATACTAATGTGACTTACTTCGTGACGATTCGACGTAACTGCGAGCACCTTCGATACTAATACATTTAAATGCCAAACTTTATATAGTACCATAAAACCCCACCCGTAGAAACCGCCAAAACTTTTCTCGTGCCTTGTGCACGTACCATCAAACTTTATAAATAGTACATACTCTTGCAGAACTAGTTTCAGAACTAGTTACACTAGTTCCCATCTATATATAATTAATACAAATACCAAACGGGAAAACCCATTTTCAAACGAAATGAAATATATATAAAACATTTAATTCAGCTCATACGCAAATTAATACAATGGTTGACGTTACAAAAGCAAACAAAATATTACAATTTATAAATTATTTTGTTTTTCTATCTCAAGTATAACAGTTAACATTTATAAATTCATAGACGCAAATTCCATTGCTTATGTGTTTTATACGGAAGCCGATAAGGGCAATTCAAAAAAAAAAAATATGTCGTAATTACGACATAGCATGTCGTAATTTCGACATAACATGTCGTTATAACGACATCGCTATGTCGTAATTTCGACATAACATGTCGTTATAACGACATCGCTATGTCGTAATTTCGACATACCATGTCGTTATAACGACATCGCTATGTCGTAATTTCGACATACTATGTCGTAATTTCGACATACCATGTCGTTATAACGACATCGCTATGTCGTAATTTCGACATAACATGTCGTTATTACGACATCACTATGTCGTAATAACGACATAGCTATGTCGTAATAACGACATCGCTATATATATATAAGAATATGTATTATGATTGCCAAGAGACTTAATGACACAGAAATTAACAACTATAGGTTATCATAATGCCCTCAATACGCTGGTTTGTTAAAAAACGCAACTCTCAACAAGAAACCAAATGACACAGAAATTAACAATTATAGGTCACCGTACGGCCTTCAACAATGATCACAGCCCATACCGCATAGTCAGCTATAAAAGGCCCCGAAATGACAAATGTAATACAATTCAAACGAGAAAAACTAGCGGCCTATTTTATGTACAAAAATAAACGAAAAACAAATATGTAAATTAAAGACTTGGGACAGACACATACATTAAGAATGTGGCGGGGTTAAACATGTTAGCGGGATCCCAACCCTCCCTCTAAGTTTGTAGGAATAATTGCCCTGGGGAACAGTGGTTAAAAGAACTTGGGGTACAAAGTTTTAATAGGGCTTCAATGGGGAGGACGCTTGAACAATTTCATTAAGAACCAACAATAGCAATGCAGTTATAATTTGCATCAAGCCTCAGTAGTACATTAATATTCAAGTGTGTACAAATGAAGGTATATAGATCCGTGGGTCTGAGCACTATGAGTCCAAAGTTTAACATAGTCTTTTTTGAGAAAAGCTTAAAATTCATCTTATTCAGATCCTGCAATGCCAAACATAATTAGAGGCTCCAGGGAGCTTGAATTGCTCCCCTATTCAACTGGGTCTCATTTGACTTGATTATAAATAAAGTTCTAGTATGTGCAAGTCTGAGGTGCTAGTGAATAACTTTAATTAAGCTTGATTGCATAAAGTGTTCAATATTCTCAAAAAAAAGATGAATTTGTTTACGATACAAACTTTGCCTTTACTGGCGACCATTTTGAAATTCCTATCGCTTCAAAAAGTGAAAAGTTAAACTATAAGGTTGCCGTTATTATCACATAGCGGTCAGGAGTCTGTAATTCAGTGGTTGTCATTTGTTGCTGTGTTACATATTCGTGTTTCGGTCTTTGTTTGTACATTATTAAAACCGTTATTTTCACTCGTTTGAATTAAATTGTTAAACAGCTGTCATTTCGAGGACTCTCCCTGTGGTATCTTTCGTCCCTCTTTTATAGCTGACTTTGCGGGGGCTTTTCTCATTATTGAGGGCATTATGATGACCTATAGTTGTTTATTTCTGTGTCATTTAGTCTCTTGGCAATCATAATACATATTCTTTTATATATATATAGCGATGTCGTTATTACGACATAGCTATGTCGTAATTACGACATAGTGATGTCGTAATTACGACTTGTTATGTCGAAATTACGACATAGCGATGTCGTTATAACGACATATTATGTCGAAATTACGACATAGCGATGTCGTTATAACGACATAGCGATGTCGTTATAACGACATGTTATGTCGAAATTACGACATAGTGATGTCGTTATTACGACATGTTATGTCGTAATTACGACATAAAAAAATTTTTTTGAATGGCCCTTATCGGCTTCCGTAGTTTTACTTGTTTGATACGTTTGTATAATGTATCAACTTATTGTCCTTTTTGTAAAGGCAACGGACAAAGATAGTGGAGAATTTGGTGAGATAACATATAGTTTGAGAGGAGGCGGAGATAAGTAAGTTAATTTGATGTAGACATTGTGACTCTTTCTAAATCAATACATGGATTAACTGTACAAATTTAAAACTATATCTGAATTCAAAGGAAATGGAAAATTTGAAAATGCACGAATCAATTTGTTATGTTGTGTACAAAATACAAAAGATCCCTGTACCTTAATTTTTATTTCCTTTCTTTTTTTATTGTTTAATTATTTTCTGCTGGTTTTTGTTGCTATGTTTAGTTTTGAGTGACTGGGTACTTATATAAATGATGCTGTATACAGTTCGCAAAGATAAATAATTATAATAAATGAAGGCATTGGTTCAGAAAGATTCGGAAGATTCAGTTTGCTCCTTTTTTTCCAATTAGCTATATTTTTGAGTCATAAATATGTTAATGGATAACTGTAATTGGTAGTGGTATTTGCAGTATATGCCATATGTAAGGGAAACATAGAAAATATATTGTATAATAATTTGAATGTGCAGAAATAAGCAAAAAGGTTGAAAATATTATAAAAATACATCATTCCACTTACTGAAGGAAGAATGTATTCTGCTAATTTTTCTTAATTTAAAATTGTAATATCAGAACTACTGAAGTGATGGGTTTTCCATATTGTACTCGTACATCATATTGTTTTACTGAATTATCTGTTTATCGTAGATTCAAAGTTAATAATGTAACTGGCATTATAACAAAACAAGAAAATCAGACTTTAGATTATGAGACAAGAGATGAATATGTCTTGACATTAGTTGCTAAAGACGGCGGCGGTAGCCTGCAACCAGCTGAAGTTATTGTTAGACTTGATGATATCAATGACAACCATCCAGTTTTCTCACAGTCATCATACATAGATTCTGTGGAAGAAAATACTGAAACCTTCGATATAACTGTTAGCGTGAGTATATGTTAAAAGAGGACATAATGAGGAAAGAGTGACAGTATTGGACCCCTTGCACATAATTGCGTTAGGATAAAGAAATTTTTTTTTCTATTAAATAAATGATGTTAATCATGGTGACGAAGATCTGCTCAATGTATAAACGGTTTACTTAGTGGCTGGGGGCTATAGTGTTACACAAACCTATCGTTCTATTAATCTGTTTGAACTAGGTTTTTTTTCTGTAGATACTGATCTGATTTTGTGCATTATAAACATGGTATATTATCCTTTCGTTTCTGTTGACAGACTTATTGTGGAATTACAACCCAAGTTTGTTAGATAAGGTTGAAGATCGGATATTCTTGTTATATCGAAACCTCTTGTTTGTATACCTTCCCTTTTATCATCAATTAGCTAATTTTGATCTGCGCCAATCAGTAGACAACACATTGCTATTTTGTGAAGATGTTTTGGATGACCAAGATACAGGTTTTTTCGTTAATTAAAAAAAACCACTATGTATCGTGACTTTTTATTTTATTTAGGGTTAATTTTTATTCAAATGTCTTATTTAACTAAACATAAGAGTCACCCTTACAGCATATTAACTCTTTCTCAGTGCCTTTACCATTTGTCAAGTTCTTAATCTTTCTTAATCTTTCGAAAACAGTGCGGTTGAAAATAAATTTATCATAATCAAAGATCTGCAGCCGGTTGTACGAACGTGGCATTAGCCTAATAAGTTATTAAGTCTTCATTAAGCCTTTATCATGCATTAGGCTAATGAAGATTTATTGACTCATTAGACTAATGACACGTTCGTACAACCGCCTGCTGAAACAATATCAAATTGTTCTTGACAGAGCATTCCGATGGTAACGAAGACAACCAATGACAAGTTTAATTACACGAATATTAATGGTGAGATGCATTGAAGTTTATAATACCGATTTCACTACACGCGACAGACTTTACTGGAATGGCTTCACCAGATACGCTTACATGGAAAAGTTTGGAAAGATAAATAACTCTTTTTCGGTTAGCTGCAACATAGAAGAACTAAACGGCAACTCGAAAGAACGTAAATGAACAAAACAGAATAAGGTCGACTTTCGTCTGCGAAGTCATACCCTTGGTACAAAACTTGATTCTTGCGTAATCGACTATTTTTATTTGTAACTGTGGAATAGAATAAGGAACAACAATGTTTACCAGTTGAAAAGCAATACTATAAATAAAATGAGTATTCGCAATGATTAGAAAAAACGTTTTTATACATTTATACTCTGCTTAAAAATTATGTTTTATTTTGCAGGCATCTGACCGTGACAAGAAAGACACAAATAACAGTAGAGTTGAATTTGATTTAATTGATTCACCATTTCACATGCAACATAATTTTACAATTATTACAATAAACAAATCAGAAGAGTTTCTAGGAAAAATATCTTTGAATGGATCGCTAGATTATGAAAAATTGAATAAAACGACTGGAGGACGAATAACATTATATGTATTGGCGAAAGATTTTGGCAGTCCTTCTTTAAGTTCAACCTGTACTGTGATAATAAATGTTCAAGTAAGTGTTATGCCAATATTTCTGTCTTTTTTTAATTCTACAATCTGGACATATGTTAGAGACAAACAATTAACTAGTAGGTAGTCAGCATCGCATGTCGAATAAAATTTGCAATATGTCAGATAGTGGAAATGAAAGGATATATAAATTCATGACAAAAGGGTCATGTTTTTCTTCATCTCAGAGTAAGGCTATGCCATAATCATTGAGCATATAATCGAGCCCATACGTTATATATATCATTATATATTGCGTCATATCCAAAGCTGTATTCGCTTCAACACAGATACGATATAGCTATCTGTTTTCAGAATTGTCATTTTGTGAATACAAAAGTAATCAATCTGAATGAATTGAATTACATTGACAGATATTTGATTACATTTGATGTAAGTGATAATTTGGCAATAAAAAATACATATTT